TATATAGGGAATGTTATGGAATTCAAATAATTACAGATAATAATATTAACAATAAAATTGTAAAACATCTTATCTTTTGAAAGTCAGCAGATTGTATGGCAAATGGTGGACCACAAAGCATGAGGCAAGGTCCGACAAAAAGTCCAGACATTAGACAATCAAACCCCCAATGAAATAAGGCAGAAACTGTCCATGGTGTAATGTGAATTAAAAACATTATATAAGCATGAAAAGACCATAGAATCTCTGTATTGGGAACGGAGACTACATAATGGAAAGGAAGAACCAAACATTTGAAATCCGGTGGTGGAAAAAGGCTATCAAGATCTCCATTCACCCAAACAGGGTCAATATCTATAGGCAAGAACTGAAGAAGGAGGCTGACCTTTTTAACGTTCAATCTCCTGGAAGATAAACACCGATTAAAAAAAAAGCAACATGGGATTGCCCACACCTGGGGCCTGTGAGATTGTGCTAGACATAGGTATGACCCCCGAAGTGGAAACATTAGCTTTGGAATAAGCTGGGATAAATGAAGGCAAATTTCAAATTCCAGAAAATTTGGAAGTTATAATAAATGAAGACCACTTCATGAGTATACTAAATACAAATGTGAAACAGTAAAGAATGATAAAAAAACATCCAAGTACAAGCACTGCCTAAAGAGAAATGATAATTCAGTTGAGGCACACAGAGGGAGTCACATGCATCACATGAGTGTACTATGCTCCTATTGGTGGAGAGGTGACACATGATGATTTACATGAGAGACACGTTGGAATCACATGATTCCAATAGAGGGGAAGCAGAAGGTTTGTGATATGCATAAATAAAAAGTTTGCATATAGGAGGGCAGCAATGGATGAGAATTGCTAATCTTGTAAGCAGAGAGAAGTATCTATAGGAAAATTATGTTTATATCGTTAAGAAGTATATACTTTAACTGATTTAACCAGTGACACTAGGTATGTAGTACATACCCTAGCATAAATAAATGTTTTTTTTTACTAAACTCTTAAAAAGGTTCTCATAATTAAATACAGCAATTTGATAATGTAATAAACTATCAACAATATATTTGAAGCTTAAATTTTCCCTTTTTTACCAATCTCTTTACCCTCATTAATGAACATACTTATATCTTCCTTGTGATATCTTTATATGAAGAAAAAGGAGGGAAAAACAATATTTAAGCTTAAATATTTTGAATATCAGATGTTGAGCATTTTTTTTCTAATAAATGATTATCATGGAATTATTGGCAATTTGTTCTTCAACCACCACTTATAGTTAACACTTTGCATATACAAACATGCTTTAATGTCCATGCTACTAATTTTAACTTGAAACGTTTTATTCTATAACATATGATCACTGCAGTAGCTAAAGATGCAAGTGGGAGTTTAGAAAGCCAATAAAGCACTAAAGTTACTGTGTCATGAACAAAAAAAAACGTGTATAAAAGTAATATAAAATAGAATTATGTTATTACATAAAACATTTACAAGTAAAACTTGATATCTACCTTCTGATAAAACTGTTTATAAACAAAGATGGTGCTGTCAAATGATAAACATCTGGCTGATAATACGAATAAAATAATTAAATGTTCCAATATCAAATGATATTCACACGCCACTACTTTTTTCTTAACATAAAAAGATAAAATGTGATCAAATAAATTTTTATTCTATCACAATAAACTTGTGTTTGTTACTATCTCTACTATTTATTATTTAACAAAAAAAGAACTTTTAATGCAAAATTTACAAAACTCACCTTACAAAAGTCCTTCAGTTTTATAATTTTTACCAAATACATGCAGAACCATCACAGACTTAAAAACATATATATAGCACAATATAAAGTTCAGAAACTACCACAGATTATGCATATAATAAGACAATTTGTAAGACAGTATAACATGGCAAACAGCTTTACACACAAAAAATATATTTTTCTAAAATTCACAAAAGGATTATAATTTTGAAATAAACAAGTGGTCTTTTTATAAAAATTTTTTAGTAAGAGTAAATACATGAAGTGTCAATGGTTAAATGATGTCCAAGCATGTGGTATAAACAATTACTAAGGAAAGAGCTTTGAAAATAGTAAAGTTTAAATACCATTTGGATACAGCAGAACACAAAGTATTTACATCACTGTATAGTGAACAGAGTGGTGTGAGCAATAATATATGATTTTATTGTATAGTGACTATAAGTTCCTTCAAGAACAAACAACAATATGTATTAGGAAGTTTAGGAGACTTATGAAACAAGTCAGAGAGTTTTGTGTAGTCTCTTTACACATTCATTTTGTCCCCGAAAAGGTTTTTACATTAAACTCTGTCTGTTCAAAAGTTACAGGAAATTTCTTTTATGACAAGATATCAAGTAAATGCAGTTGGATCTAAAAAGTATGGCAAATGACAACAAAAATAATCCAAGGACTCAATTCCTTATTTATTGATTAAACACAAGTAAAAGAAATTATTATTATTTATTGTATAGAAACTATGTTTATTAGGCATAAATTGATCTTTGTTAGCAAAAATTTTGTTACCTAGCTTGACAAAGGTAATAGTGATGCCATTGTGAAATGTCACATTGTAGTTCATCAGTAAATATTTGTCAGTTGTTGTTATATTTTTAAGACTTATTGATAGACTAAACGAAAGAAGTGAAGTGCAGTAGGTAAAGTATCAAAAGAAATATGTTAATGAATATTAATCAAGTTAATAATTGAAGACAACTAAATGTAATCATACAAATGTTTTAAAGCCAAAACTAGATAATATTTAATAAGGTTGTAATTTGGTTAAATATTTTCACTTTGAAGAGGAACAAATTAAGAGGGGATATCAATGATACCTCACTGGTGTGGAAAGGTTTATATCATATGACATTTTTATCTGTCATTTTATATACATACTGTATACATATTCTGTCAGTTTATGGACTTTTACCTGTGTAAAGTGTATTTCTGCATCTTCAGGAAACATTGGAAATACATCTTCTGTTCCATCTTTTTCACCAAGACCAAAATCTTCACCAGGTTGTATTTCTCCACAGTTGTATATAAAACAATCCTGGAAAATATTATAACACATCAGCAAAAAATAATTCCAAAAGTCATACTGTGTATATAAATATTTATACAAAACAGAATAGTCAAATCTGTTCTCATCTTGAGCAGAGACAGATTGCACACATCACCTATATTGGAGCAAAAAAAGCTTGGTATTTTAAACCTGAACCACACCTTGTGTGACACTAGGTTAGCTACAGCCATCCATAATTTAGAACTGCTGACCACATTAAAAGCAACCCAAAACCTGCATAGCTATTTTTAATTGAACAGCAGAATTGACTGACACAGTTATAGCAACCCCACATTTAAAAGTGTGGAACAACTTCAACAATATTTTTGGCTCAAAATATTAAAATCTTACAATCTTAGACAAGCATACTAGTCATAAAGCCATGCCAAGACCAGGCTAAAAGCTACTTCACAGATTGAAATATTAAATATTTTTAAAAAGTTTGGGAAAATTTGTTTATATCAGTCAGAAGTTTGCTTTGACAAGGAAGCTCATGTGTTGTACATTTTTCTTTCTGAAAAACCAGACTGGCAAATTTCTTGAACAAGAGAAAAACATAAAAACAAATAGGTGTGTTGGACTAAGGATTCTTTTACAGTAGGTGTCTGTGACTTGTTGGTGATAAATTTGACAATAAACAAACAGCATGCACTCCACTTATTTTTAAAATTATATATATTTGAAACAAGTTAAAAGTATGTACAAAATTCTTTACACTATGGGGATCATATTTGCATCTTAAACATTATGCAGTTTTCTTCTTGTCAAAAGTCCACTTAGGCCAATTCAATTGCTTTAGAATTCAGTTGACAAGTCGAACTGTTTTTATCACAATAGTATCCATGTATAATTCAATTACACTGTTGCATGAGTTACCGAAGTTGTATCCTTAACTTCCAATAATCGTCTGCTTTTCGTACTTCCAATATCATCTACCTTTTATGTCAAAGCCATACAGGCGGGTTCAATTAGTTTAGAACACCCTTTGAAAAAACAAATTATTCTCCTTATCTCTTTCAAACTGTTCATCTCACTCTAACATATCAACTGTTAGGCCATTCACTCCCACGATGGTTAACTTTATGTTTTCTAACTTTTCTCTGACCGAACTTCTCTTTCACAAGACTTTAATTTTACTCCATTTCTGCTTGTCTGGTTGCAGCTATTTATACGCCTATCACTTAAGCCTTCGAGAAATCTCTATAGCGTCAACATCAATTGATTGCAAACACAACATTCGATAGCCTTGATATCAATGAATTACAAACACAAAATAAATGAATTAATAATACTACATATACTAAACAGTCTTTTATATGTCTGACAAAAAGCCTCTTTTCAAGAGAAATATTTAAGATATATTTTTTCACTATATACAAAGACTGTTTTCAGCTCACTCACAATGTCTACTCATACAGTCTGCACCAACATATACAGTCCCTTTGTCGGTCTCTTCTCACGTAGGGCCTCCAACAGAATTTCACCTTGTCTCTTGTCTTCATTTTGATCTCAGTGTTGTCTGGGGTCTGTATTTCCAAATCTATCTGTATACTGACACAGTACATTTTGTTCCTCTTTCTTCTTCTTACCAGTCAGTTCTTTATTTATATTGACGTCTTTGTACATCTCATCTCCACCCAGTGCTCTTAGGCCTAGAAGGTCTCCTTATCTTCTATAACAAAGACATTGTCTTCAGATTATGCTTCTATAACAGCCACACCTGCCATGTCCATCTGTACTTTAATAAGGTCTTCTTCTCTCTTGAAGTACCTCTACAACAGGTTGGCATGGTACATCATGATTGTTCCATCAACTTTCACTATATAGTGCATTCTGTGGATCACTTCCTGTACTGTGAAAGGTCCTTTCCATTGCTAGGTGAGTTTGTTGTTGGCTATGGGTAGCAGGACTAAAACCTTCTGTCCAACCTTGAAACATTGACCCTTGGCCTTCTTGTTAGAGAAGTGTTTCTGATGGTCTTTGAGTTTGGCTTCTCCAGTAAAACTGTTTTGAAAGGTCCAGTTCAATACTCCTTTCCAGTCCTCTGTTTTATAAGTCTCTTTCCTCTTTGTCTTGTGCTTGACTTCCTCTCAGGCACTGTTCCAAAGTTTCTGTGGTGAAGGGTTTTTCTTCTGCACTTCCTTCAAATTCTTACTACCTGGTATGTTTCCTTTCACCAAGTCGTATACTGGTTCCTTGATACATAAGGCCTCAAGGTCTCCTATATAATATGGAGTATCCACCTTTATTTTTGCTATGGGAAACTTCTTCACTGTCCCATCAATTAGCACACACAGATGTATTTTGCCCGTCATCTGGTCATCAGATACTAGACTTGTTCTCACTGCTGCACTACTGCACCCAGTGTCTCATGGAACTTTCACTTTCTTGTCCCCAACATATCCTTCACTTACTGGCATGTTGTTATTTGGTATCACCTCCTGATGTTTGTCATATGCTCCAAGCACTACTGGCACTGTTGATCCATTTGCTAACTTGAGCCAACCATTAGTCGTGCACTGATCATTCATGGAATTGGCACTTCCTTCTTGAGGTGAATCTGACATGTTTTCTTGATTCAGTTTCTTCTGGCAGTAGCATCTGTGGTGCTATTCACTTTTCTTGTTTCTTACCACCACTATTTTTGTAAATAGCTCTAACTGCTTTATGTTGAGATTTCTGCTATTGCTTGATGGTAATTGACTTACAATGTGCCCCATTTTATAACAAACATAGCACCTCTTCTTCCTTCTGTCTATCAACCTCCTGTCACCTTTGGTAGACTCTTGCTTCTGGTCAACTATCACTGGTTTTGAACATAACTGGATATTTTTGGATTTGCCACTTATACTCCCTCCATGGGCTTCCATATACTGTTCTGCCAGCTTGATCATCTCCTCCACATCTTTTGGTGCTCTCTCCTTTAGGAACAGTGACATTTCAGTTGAACATGAACTGTTCAAGTACTAATAGGTCTGCCAGTCCATAAAAACGATTGTCACATTTGGCCATGTCAGTCCATCTTGTGAAGTATCACCATAGACGTGCCACAAACTGAAATACAGTTTCTCCAATGTCAGGTTTGACTTCTCTGAACTTCCAGCAAAAATCTTCTTCAGTAAGTTCATACTGTTTCAGCAAAGCCACTTTTAATTTGTCATAGTCCATAGCAACTTCCGACGTCATGCCTGCATATACTTGTACGCCTTTTCCTGTGGGAGGTGGGCTCAGACAGACTGCCCAGTCACCTTTGTCCCAGTTCTGACTTTGGGCAAATCTTTCATATCTCTCCAGGAAAGCATCCATGTCATCTTTCTCTTCATCAAATTTGGGCAGCTTGAGTCAGCTGGCCCTAACTCTGTTGTCATTCTTAGGTCCTTCTTCCTTTGGTTGGGTGAGCTTTGCAATCTCAATTTGTGCTCTTATTCTCTCTATTTCTAGCCTCTGCTTCTCTCTTTTTCTTCTTTCTTAATTTGTGCTGTTCTCCTCTCTCTCTCTATTTCCAGTCTTTCCTTTCTCTCATTTTCTTCTCTCTACTTTCAGTCTTTCTTCCTCTCTTCTCTCTCTAGTTCTTGTTGTTGTTTAACAAACTTTCATAGTTCACTGTCTTAATCCAAGACGTTCTCCTCTTTGTATCCATTTATCAAAATTTGACATGGTTTTATAGTGTGATTGTTATCTCCACACTATTTGCACTACTACTATAGTTGTGCACATATAGGCCTATATATTTCCGCTGTCGTTCACATTTTCACCATATGTCAGGAACTTTTTTTTATTAGTATATATAGTAATGTAAAGATAAGGGTGTGTTGAGCTAAGGATTCTTCTACAGTAGGTGTCTGACTTATTGGCGACAAATTTGACAACAAATGAACAGCTCACACTCCACTTATTTAAAATATATATATTCAAAACAAGATAAATGTATGTACAAAATTCTTTATATTATGGAGATCTTATTTGTATCTAAAACACAATACAGTTCTCTTCTTCTTGTCAAAAGTCCATAGAGGCCAATTCAATTGCTTTGGGATTCAGTTGACAAGCCAAACTATTTTTCTCTATTTTAATTGCAATAATACCCATGTATAATTCACTTATGCTGTCACATGAGTTACCATAGTTGTATCCTGAACTTTTAATAATCGTCTGCTCTTGGTACTTCCAATAATTGTAAGCCTTTCCGCAAAGTCAACACAGGTGGGTTCAATTAGTTTAAAACACCCTTTGACAAGATAAACTGTTCTCCTTCTATCTTACAAGCTGTTAATCTCACTCTATTATATCAACCATTAGGCCATTTACTCCCATGATGGTTAACTTTATGTTTTCTAATTTTTCTCTGATCGAACTTCTCTTTGGTGTGACTTTACTTTTTACTCTATTTCCACTCTTCTGGTTGCAACTATTTATACCCCTATCACTTAGGCCTCCTAGAAATCTCAATAGCCTCGACCTCAATGGATTGCAAACACAACATTCAATAGTTTCAACATTAATTAATTAATTACAAACACAAAATAAATTAAGTAATAATACTACCTACACTAAGTAGTCTTTTATATGTGACAAAATCTTAATCATCATTACATTCAGAAAAGTGATTTACTTATATATATAACAGAAACAAATGAAAGAAGCAGAAATTTTTTAGCCTTTGTCTGAGAGGTATTTTATAACTAATGCAGCTATACATATTCAGCCATTCAATTTTATAACATTTCTTATAGTTTGATCTTTGATGCTGTTTTATGACAAAGAAAAAAATTGTGAAGACTAACATTAAGAAAATACTTAAGAAAATACCAGTTGTTACGACAGTGGGGGTCACGTGACGAGTATTCTAGAAGAATCGCTAGTGTGTTACGACAGCGGGGTCATGTGACGAATATTCTAGAAGATTCGCTAGTGTGTTGCGACAGCGGGAGTCAATTGGCGCTGGTAGCACGTGTTGAGAGTCTTAGAAGTTTCTAGAACAGGCAGTATTATCGTATATAAGTGCGCTAGACAGTGAGAGAGACAGACGGAGTCGAAGCGGTAGTGGAGGCAGAGACGTAGTGGAGACGAAGCAGGCAGAGAGAAAGAAAGACAGTGATTATGGTTGGCGGGAACAGAGGATAGCAGACACAGAGATCGGAACTATAGTTTGCAGGGACGGACAATTAAGTCCAAGCGCGATAGAAAGTGAGTGAATTGTTGTGAACTATAGTGTGTGTAACTGTAAAAATTAAGTACATTACAAAGTTGTATTGAGGAAGAATAAACAAGTTTTATAAAGAAAGGACTTGTATCTTAGAAGAATTAACAAACAAATATACAGAGACGTAACACAGTTTTAAAAGCAATTGTTTTTTTAATATAAATGAAAAGCTAGTACACCTGTTCTATTGGTAAAAAATGAAAGTTACTGCTTCACATTTTTAAAATAGTAACAAATTTACAAACAGTAAAACTAAAAATGCAAGTGAGTTTGGTCATATGTTTTGGCTAGAAACTTCAATATTACAACAGCACTGTTTAACAAGTTTTTGTGTTTATTATTTTTTTGTGGGTATTTATACTTCTGTAGTGTGAAAGAAATTCTATTTTATTCCTTGAACAAATATTTTGCAAATCCAGACTTTTATGTATGGGGAGACTAAATTACTTAAAAAATATGCTTTTAATCTTATTACTGTACCTGTTAAAGTAACAGCATAAATGGTTGTTGTCTTTCAAGTCAACCACCACTCCTGTAAACATGAACTGAAAATCTAAGTTTTTAATACAAAAAATAAAAAAAAACTAATGTTTTAATTATATCTTGCACTTCTCATTACATGTAGTTCTAATCAATTTTCTTCGTCCACCTTATTTGAAAAATGTCACTGAAACTAAAGGTTATAAATATGTGTGTGAAATTCATCTTATATCATTTGTTTGTTGTTATGGCCAAAGCTAGATGATGGGTTATCTGTGCTGTGCCCAATGCAGAAACAAACCCAATTTTTGGCATTATATGCCTTCAATCTTAGTGCTGAGTCATCAGGGGACACTAAAAGGCAATGTTCTAACTCCATCTTGCACTGTCAAAACTGAAATAGCTACTAGTTACACCATTATACTAGTATAGACTATACATATAGTCTAGTATATTCAGACACCTTTCTAAAGTTCCATGTAGTTAATTACACCTGTGTTGCTTGGATATCACAGTTACAAACACTTGCTAACTCATTTTACATAGGTAGGAATTACACAGTGCAACTTAAAGCTCAAAGTGGCATGTATGCATTTTTGTACTGACCTTCTTAGAAGATGGCTCATTCAAACAGGTGATACAGAAACCTGTACCTGGTTTGGGATAGTTTAGAATTATATGTAGACTACAAGTTGAAGTACGCAACCTAATAAATATTGGGAAACCACACTAAGGTTTCATTATGAGTATAAAAGTAGAGAGTAGACATAAAAAATGAGAAGCTTGGACAGTCTGGTAATATAAACACTGTGGTTTAAAGGAAGAGTTGTATATTTCCATGATTACTTGTTTCCTTTTGTTGACCGTGTTTAACTTATTCTTTGCTTAAAAATCCTGAAGCTTTGTTTTGTGGATACTTTAGACTTATCTGTTGGATGTCAGTGTGCCAAAATACCACTTCACTTTACTCATATGTAGTTCTAATCAAGGTTATAAATATACACATAGAATTCAAATACACATTCTGGAATACAAAGCAACCTCCTTAAAAGTAAAATAATGTCATGTGTTCATTTTCAATTGAAAAGAGAATGTAAATATTAAAAAAAAAAGTTGGTTGTACATAATATTAAAAAAACTTGTATAAATCTAAATTTAATGTATTAAATGAATTCTCACAATTTTCTCTCATTAAAAAAAAATCACTTTTGGGTGAATTCTCACACCAATGCCTCAAAGGTTAAAACATTGATCTAAAAGTCAAAAAGGTCTACCTCTACTGGTCTGTCATTTGGTCCTGTATGTGCACTTTCCAGCAGGTGGACAGTACCCAAACCTTTCTTTACTCTACCAAAAACAACATGTTTGTTGTCTAGATGAGAAGTAGGAACTGTTGTGATATAAAACTGAGAACTGTTGGTATTTGGACCAGCATTAGCCATTCCAAGAAGCCCTGCTTTATCATGCTGAAAAAGAAGAATGTATATAAAATAACTTTCAAACTTAAACAAAATTAGTACAATTAAACTATTAAAGGAAATATGAATAAACCACATTTGGTTATTCAACATTTCCTAAAATACCCAAGATAGCCAAAGTGATGGAGTAGAATATGTTCTAATACGCTGTGGCCTTTTCCATTCCTTAAGCAATAAAGCAGAATTAGTATACTAATTCATACTTATTCAGTAACTTTTCATTCTGTCTACCTTTTTTTCCTAACATATTTTTAAATTGGATTTCTTACCTACAGAAGGACTTTGGCTATCTTTAAAAACTTCTCCAGTATAAAGAAAGTTTATTGCTTAATGGAATAATGTATATTAATATAAATGTGTAAGTTTTGAACAAAGTCAGAGTTAACAGGTTGGAATTATGGCTTCACTTGGAGTGCTAATACAGAGATATCTAACAAGGTTCTGGCCACTCCTATATTAACCAGGAACTTCCATCTCTTGCCCTTGTATATTTAACAACACATACCATCCAGCCCTAACTTGGGCTCAATTAGTTTCTCAGAGTAGAAACAGCAGCAGTCACATCTTTTTGCTGGACCTCCTGTACCTACTGTGCAGTTGGCCTACTCTGGTTGTGTTGCTTGTAATAGTGCACATCAAGGTCTGGGCAGTTCCTTCTAAACTAACCTTACTTCCCACACCCAAGGCATATGCCTTGGTTCTCCCTTTTGGAATGATGTCCAGGCAGAGGCATAATCAACACTGGCTGTGGCACAAACATCATGGAAAGACCATGGAAGCCCTTCCAAATCACAAGGAAACAATGAGCACCAGGACTTGTTTGTGGCTGGTTTGCCCTTGCCATAGCTCGAGCTCTACTGGGGAACCAACTTGAGTACAGCTGTCTGTTTAGATTTAGTTACTACTTCTATCATAGCATAAGCCTTTCTCCCTCAAACTCTTAGCCAATGCCATGCTGAGCCTTAGCACAGTGGAAGGACCAATAGTTTGAGACGAACCTTAGATTCCTGCCCCCAGGATACAGAATGGCAAAGCAATGATGGTATTGTGCTATTCATATCCATTCTGTATAACATCAGGCTTTTAAGTGATTTGTGATTGCTCTTACAGTGTACCTACCATCATGGAGAGGCTCACTACTGCCCCTTGTTCATCATCATTTATATGTCTCCACCATGACTGCACTACTCTAGCCAACAACTGCCTGAAAGTCCTAGAGAGACCATCCCATCCAGTCTCAGACTTACCAGACCATACAACCAAAGCGATCCTCAGGGACAGTTTCTGAAGCCAATCGTAGTGCACCAAATGATGACACTTCTCTGTCTTGGTGCTATAACTGTAGCAATATAGCCAACAGTTATCTCTAACTTTATATTCACAAATTATATTTTAGAAATTCTCATAACAAACTTCCAAGATAATCTGTCCTGCACCTTTTTATAATATTGTCATATGCTATAGTAAATCTATTTAATGATAATGGTTTCTATGCTTTTACAATATTTTATTACTAGTCCACTACCAATGTTTAAAAATGAACCCTAAACAAAATTTAAAGATACTTCAATATGTAAACTATTATCTGCTTCTTACTAAATGTTAGTACAATTTCCTTGTGCTCATTACCATGTACTTTACCTTATAAGGCACTTAAAAACAAATTTTCCTTTCACCTAGCATTATCCAGTCCAGAGCTAATGCTAAAATAACATGAAAAATAATATGAATTTCTGGGTTAGGCATGTGATCATGCAATGTGTTCATGCATGCTTTACCAATCTATTTCTTTTTGCCACGAAGGAACCTATAATACATGACTAGTTTGGCTGTTTTTTGTACTACTAGCCAGTTCTTCAGTTTGTTTTGGATCAGGCTGAAATTTGAAGATACTCTCTAGATTGAGGCAGAGCCTGCTGGTAGCATGCCCAGATTTTGTCCAGAATGTTTAATGCATTTCCACCAAACATCTGGCTTGGTTTTAACACAGGTCGTTGGATGACACAGTCTTGGGCAAAGGCAGATCTTCTGCTATGAACTGGCAACTCTGGGGCTTCATCTGCTAGGACCTCTTGTGCTTCATCCACATGATTGGATTGAAGTTGCCCTCCCTTGTACTATGGATGCAGCAGATTGGCAAGAAAGTGGTCTGCTGTCATGGCTTGATCAAATCTCTTTTGGATGGTATCATTGTGGAGGGAATAGCTGTGGGCAGTTGAGCAGGTTGAGCCATTGTTCACAGGTATCAGCAATAGTGGATGAGTCAGCCTGCAGATTGTCTAAGGCCTTGGCAATTGGTTGCAGTTCATCATGCATGTTCATGGTTTCATTGTAAAGATCAACATTCTGGATGAGGCTTTTGATCCTGTTTTCAATCCCATCTTAATTTTCAGCAACTACAAGAAGCATCAAAGGCTGGTTTCTGAGGTAGGTTTCAATGCAATCAAATTGGCTATTCCATTTAGTTTCTCCTGGCAGTTGTGGCTTAATAGAGCCATCTTGACTGGTCAAGAGCACTTCTGGTACATGTTGGTTGTGAAAATATTTGTTGATCTCCACAACTTGGTTTATCACTTATTGTACTGTTACATCTTGACTTAGAAGGTTTAATCAATGGGATGAGCATCCATAGACTGTTAAAGTGTGGTCTGTCTCTTTCAGGTTTCTGCACATTTCTTTCATTTTGCTCTCATTGACAGTCACTACTGCAGTAACGGTACACACAAACTTGTTAAATGCCACTTTCATGGAATCATTGGCAACTGACTCAACTGTTGACAGGAAGTAACATTTCTGCTTAACACGTATGCTATTGGCAATCATGGGAATATTATGAATGTCACTCCAGCCACCTTACATAACTGTTGGATCCTGTCCCAAAACTTGTTCCATCACAGTTTCAGTAATCTTCTGATGGACTTTATCAAGCAACTCTTCACCTAGGGCTCGGCAGGTGGGAGGCTGATATTCAGGGTATACTATCTTCCAAGTTCAGGATGGGACATATTGAATGGGATGTTGCAAGCATGAAACATCTTTGCAACCTACTCACCTACTTGTGCCTTCATTTTGTCATCTGTCTTAAGGACAAAATTTATGGCAGCCCTCTAATGTTTAGCCTTTTTAGGATGCAGTTGATCATGTCTGGGAGGTTTTTAAACATCTGCTTAAGATAATGTAAATGAAAGTTCTTGGATATCATTGTCAGTGGGACTGTTGGTTGCATTGACTGTTATTGTGACTCATGACCTACTCTACATCAATGCCATTCCCATTTCTAACGTCAAAAAGACTGGACATTTCATCAAATGAGTTTTTAGTCTCATTGTTTTGGTGCTCTCTTCAGTATTCCAGTTTCTGCACCAAGCCACTGTTTTCTCTGTTTGCTTTGCAAATGAGTCCCATATTAGATCCCTTGGTCTTCCACTTTTGTTCAAGCTGAATCAAAAACTTCAAGTTTATGGGTTCTATAATTTCTGTTGTGTTGACTTGGGTATACAGGAGGGAAGATAATGTAACTGCTGAAAATGGGTACTGCTGATGCTCATGGCTTCAAACCATGCTCTTGCCTAACAAAAGAAGGCCACACACTGCAACTTTCTGGATGTTGCTTCTCAAACTGCATGGCTGGTTCGACTTTTGAATACTACACATCTAGGTAATACTTACTAGTACAGTAAGGGTCAAATTTGGCTGAAACTTTTAACAGTCAATGCTGTGTTGAAGGTAAATGGCAAGGTAAATTAGGTCCTAGTGTCTCTCTGGTTTGCCTCTTCACATGTAGGAAATCAATTATAATATACAGATTAGTGTTGACAAGTGTGTGTACATAGCCTACACATAAGTGGCCCCAATACTCATGATTCAGGCATTTTTCCAAAATGTAATACACACTTCTGATTAGTTACAACAATATAAATGCCTTATATTGCCAAACTTGCCAATGTATCCTATGGTCTTCTGAGACTGTTTCCTTAGCTTTTTTAGGTTTTAGAAATATGTTTCAGCATTGACCATGTTTGACTGGATTTAACCACTTCCTGGTTAAAACAGGTTTTTACCAGCTAGAGATCAACCCTGCAATAAGCAAATCTCGTCACCTATTGATGAGACTAAAAGAGGATTACTGGTTTTATTCTTCACAAACTACTAAAAGCACGCACACACACACACACACACACATACATACATACACATATATATAGTTGTAATGTTGTTCTTTTATTGGTCGGTTATTTTACATTATCTGGTGAAAATAATTCAGTCTCAAATGATAAGAAATTAGTTTATTTCTTCCATAATGCTTCTGTGGAACTTGTAGGCCACATTTACAAATGAGGCTAACTGCACTACACAAACATAAAAAATAACTTACTTGTACCACTTCATGGGTGAAATGAAACATACTGACTAACTCATTCTACCAAATAAAAACAACTCTACCATCTTCACAATTATCTTTTTCAAACCTCATATTTATAATTTACCATCAAATTTAGCAGAACACTTCATGTCAAATCTTTGAAACTTTCTAGACCTATGTTATTAAACCTATATAATGCAAGTTCTTTCATGATGTGAACACCACCCATGTAACTTGGAATATCTCCGATTTCAGAACAAAGACTATTATGTCTATTTTGGTACCATGTGTAATGTTACAGCCATCTTTCCTGCTAAATAGTTCATGTGACATTCTAGTTGAATGACCCAGTTTCATGTGTAATAACTAGGGTGAGAAGAAATTAGTTGTTCCTTGGACCAACGTTTTTTTTTTTTTTATTAGGAGCTAAACACACACTGTGTGAAAAATTGTTTTAAAAATTCTAGATATTAATTAAAGGGGTAGAATAAGTATGGTATTCCTGCTTACTACAGGGTAAATATATGCAGCCAATATCCTAATTATGCTTTCTTCTGTCTAGTTTAACATTTTACAGGCAAATATGTTTGCTCACAGTAAGTTTTAGATTGACCAGCTACAACTTATCTTTTTAAGTCCATTAACAAATCTGCAGAAAAGAAACTTAAATACCTCTTCCATTTTACTAGCACCTGTAGCACACAGTTTCACATACTGAGAACTGTAGAATAATTAAATATACTACTCAGAAGATAGGAATATTTGGTAGCTGTGTTTTAAGCTTTTACAGTCTTTGATGCAGTATCAATAACATAATCTCTTGAAATTAATACTATCCCTGCTAATACAAAAACAATAAAAACAAAACATTAATTATGTAATTTTACTCATAATTCAGCACATCTACAACATAAAGAAGCCAAACACACCTTTAAGTTGAAGTTTTCATCTTCAAAACTCTCTCCATATATACTTTCTCCTCCAGTTCCATCATTGTTTGTGATGTCTCCACCTTGAACCATGAACTGACGAATTACTGGAATAGGAAAAATTCTGTTAAGTGCATGTAGAGTACTAAAATAATAAATAAGTAACACACAACATTGAAATAGATATACAATTAAAAACATTTCTAATTCAGGCCAATCTATGGCTTATAAAATGTTGACTCTACATGTTTCCACATTTACCACATCATCACCAGGAGTGAACTTACACATGGTAAATATCAAAACACGTAAAGTCAACATTTTAGAGGCCACAGATTGGACTGAATTAAAAATGTTTTAATTGTTTATTTATTGTAACATTGTGTTTTATTTATTTATTACTTTAACATTATACGCAAGTGCCAAGAAAATAATATCCATGTAGAATACTGTCTAATCACTAACACAGAGCAAAACAAGGCTATTTGTTCTTAATAAACATTTCTCAATACTACTAATTTTGATATTTGTTGGCACAATATTTAAGACTTTTCCATAATATGTTGATTTTTCAAAATACTTATTCAATTTAGCCAACAGAGCAAAAGATCTCTTATTTATGACATACGTAGATAGTTGGAATTTTAAACTTGAAAGGCACCTCATGCTTTATTTCTAAACAGTCAGAGACCGAGCTAACTGTTTTGTCTACAATGCAAAGATCATACCCCAAATACTAGTACCATAAGCCCTCAAGCTCACTTCTGAGACAAGGAGAGTTTTGACCAGAGGTAGGATAGCTAGCTGAAAGCTTCTGCTACAATAAGGTCTTTAAACTGAATGACAAGATTTCTTGCCACTTTTATGATGCACCCACAGGTGAAAACATTGTGTTCAATGGCATTAAGGCTTGAACAGTAGACTGTACAAAACACAGCCCAATATACTTACTTCTGAGCCACATCCAGTTCAAGTTGATAAATTAAAATATTCATAAAAATATGTAAATTTGTGCTCAATTGTTCATCTAACTTATCAGTTTATTCAAACTACCTGTAAAGAAATACAGAATTGATGATGATAATATGAATGTCAAGGTATACAATGTAAGATTGGAGACATAATACAAAGACAACAAGGGACCATTTGGTCCTACATCCATCCTTCAAAAAAGCAAAAATTTAAACCCAAATTTTATTTTTCAGTAAAGCATATATTCCATTCTTAAACTCTTGTAAAGTGCCAGCTTCTACTACTGCAGACAGCAATGCATTCATAATCCATAAGTCAATCACACTGTTAGAAAAATAAAACTGTCTTAACTGAAGCCTAGCCTGTCTTTTCCAAATCTCAAACTTGTGTCCTCTCATCCACTTGTCTTCAGAACACAGCACAAATAAATCAGATACTTTTAAATTATTGATCCTCCTAGATAATCTTGTAAACTTAAATAAGATTATGAAATCATCCTCTGAACCATTTACAATAAATCAACATCCTTTTTCAGATAAGACCAAAATTGTACATGGTATTCCTAACTGGTGATTTTTATAGAGGAATTTGACTTGTAAACAATATGTACATAAATGCACCCAAAAATTCTATTAGCTACCAGAGCTTTGTCTCAATGAATTGACATGTTTCAGTTAGTTATCCACCATTAATCCAAGATCCTTCTCTTTAATCACATTACTAAATGGGTTTCCATCTATATAAAACACATTCAAGTTATGATAACCCTAAAATGCATTATCTTGTACTTACTATGATTAAAAGCATTTGCCAAATATTTGTCCATCTTACCAACTGATCCAAGTTCTTCTGTAGTACCTTAATATTCTCAATACAGTTAGAAATACCCAAGTGTTTAATGTCATCAACAAACTTTACTAATGTACTCATTATGTTCCTATTAATATCATTAAAGTAAATAAAAAGGAATAGTCCAAGCACTGACCCTTGAAACACACCACTAATAAATGCAACCCAGCTTCACTTCTGTAAATAACAACCTTTTTATTCTTATCCAGCCACCTCACAACCCAAATAACTAGCCTCTCCCCAATTCCCACAGTATGATTTTCTTAACTGATATTGGGTGTTGCACCTTTTCAAAAGCCTTTTAAAAATCTAAATGTACCAAGTCCACACTCTTTCAATCATATATCTAGCAGGAACATCCTTACAAAATGTTAACAAAATAATAAGGAAACATTTTAAAAGATTAGAAAAACAATTAATAATACAGCTAAGTTGAAGTTGCTTTCTAACCGTCTTGTGAGGGTAACTTATTTGGTACAGTGCAGCCAACTACATCTGTAACCAAAAATGTGGTAGGAACTGTATATTTTGTTTTCAGATGCATCCATAAAGTGTATAAACTTTAACCTATTCTTGAAATTTCTGGAACCAAGAGTACTAATGTATCACATAGTGTGAAACAGAATTTCAAATAAATTATCAATTTTTTTACGTTATGCTAATGTTTCTGGCCTTATGAAATTAATGACTTCAAAATTCTTACTGAGAAACTACTTTCAACATATTTATACCACTACTGAATTTTTTTTTTAACAAAAAGATTGGGATTATTTATCAAAAACTACGACTGTATGAAAATGAAAGACTCAGTCCTTACCTCTATGAAATCTGCAACCTTTATAGTGAAGAGGTTTTCCTTTTTTTCCAACACCATTTTCCCCTGTACAGAGAGCTCTGAAGTTTTCACAAGTTTTAGGTGCAACATCTTTGAACAATTCTAGGATAATACGCCCAGCTGTGCCAAATAAAATTTCAAAGAATAAACTCAAGACAAAGATAGAAAAATGACAATGCAATGGCTATTGGTAAAATTATTGTGGCCTTCTTATTTTACAAAGTTCATAATTTAAAGCCTGAGTGTGAACATAATAAAGAGTAAATTATTATAGTTGATGTAAAAATATGTATACACAAATTGATATAAATACACTTTTCATACAACTGATATAAATTAAAGGCACAAGATGAATTTTTACTTAAGTGTTCACATATACATTTACACTCCTGTATATAGTTTTTACTTGATAGAATTCATTATGAATTTGTCAATCAATTTTCCAAAAGTATTGTGCATCAGCTGCTAAATTAAATCAGTGAATGCTAAGTAACAACAACAAAAAAAAAGATCATGTCATAAAGCCATTTAGCCAATAACTATCACTTTCCATACACTTAAACAACCAACCAAGGCATAAAATCTTAAATAAAATTTAGCTCTTCACAACCGTATATGTGTCACAAATTTTAGAATATAAACAGTTTGCATCAAGTCACCTAGCAAACCATTTCACAAGCTTATAACTAACAAAGTGATCATTTTGCAGAAGAACAAGTCTGTAGTTGAGCCATTAAAGCTTATTCTCTTCAGTATTGAAAGATGCATTTTTAGTTTTCCTTTTCACAATTCAGACACTTTCTTCCAACAAAGAATAGCTATTAGCTATTATCCTAGCTAATACCTAAGATAATCACCTTTCTTCTAAATGTACTCTAAGAGAAAAAACAAAACAAAATCTTTAAGCCTCTTTTCACACCTTAATAAAAAACAAATCTAACAACATGTATATGTACTCTTTATATTATATTAACATCCTTCCTGTTTTAAGGGTTATAATAAATAATGTTTCACCAGTTTCATAAAAGATTATAATACTCTCTTAAGTTCCAGCACAGAGTTTTATCAAGTATAACCTCTAAATCCTTTCTTCTTTTTTTTTTTTATTTTTAATCAAGACTACCAAAGCTCTTCTCAAACAAGAAGTAAGTCATTTCCAAATTTTCATCAATAAAGCACAAAACTTTAGGCTTCATATCACTGTAATTCATTTTCCATGTTCTTTATTGGAAAGGGTTCAGAGGAGGAGTACTAGAATGATTCCTAGGATGGGAAGGTTATCTTACAGGTTAAGATCTTTTAAGGTATTTGCTCTTGAAAAAAAGAAGGGTAACAGGTCATCTCACTGAATTTTACAAGATTACCAAGGGGAGGGGGCTGATAGGATCAAAGTATAAGATTTCTTTGTGCTGTAATCTAATAAAAACAAAAGAACAAAACAAATTTATTATATGGAAAGCCTGGCTTAGCTCCACTAAAGACAGGCTTATTTTTCTAGTAGAGTGACTGACCTATAGAGGGAGTTGCAATCAGGAATAGTAGATGCTGGTACTTTACAAAAACTTAAGAGAGGAATCAATAATTTTGTGAAAACAATATACTATGGGTGCATTTAAATTCTTCCTTTTTCAAAGAGCGGAGTGTACAAGGTTAGCCTTGACACCTGAACAACCAAATGGTCCCTTGCTGTCTGTAGAATTAAGTTATTTTATGACTGCCAATATCATTTTGATTAAGAGAAATAAATCTCAATAAAATCAGTCATGTCTAGAAATTTGGTATCATCTGAAAGGGTGCAGGCAGTACTACAGAGTAGGGTGGTCTCTTTCTAAATGAAAACATGGAGCTTTTTTCTCCACAAATAATTTAAGTGATCTACCTTAGCCTAAGTGAAACTTGTAAAACAGGAGTACTTAAAGATTAAGAGAGCAAAAACAAATTCAAGTGTTTACTAGAAAAAAATCAGAAGATAGTGGACCTTTTAGAAATTTTTTTAGGATATTGGAGTGGTTGTTTGACCTTCCCCTCTCTGGTTATGCTCAGCAGTAATTTTACATATCTTACTGTTTACAATGCTATCAACATCAAGTTGAATAAACATGTTGAAACTTATAGGATTTACTTATTATAAAATAATTATTAACAATATTGGTTGTATGCAGGTTTTATTTAATACTATGATTAATTCAATGCATATATTGCATGCAGTTTTTGTATATTTTGAAGGTTAACTAAATTTATATTAAAATCTTAGACCAATTCATTTGATCAGGAAAAATGTAAACTGAAAAGAATTGTATAATTTTAGTGCCTATGATAAAACTTTATCTTATATTCAGTATTATATACATTCAATCTGAAATTAATTAATAATTTTTGTGTCAAACTATGGCTTAAATTGTATTTATAAGTTTCTATGTTACTATTATTAAAGAAGTTTTCCTTTATTATTGCTTTATAAAAAAGAGATTTCAACTAAAACTTCAAGTAAATAATTTTCATAGAACTCTGATTATTAAAATGTGGCTGACAGAGTAATTTGAAATGTTTAATATTTTATCACAATTATTAATGACAGTCAAATTTTAGATGTTTAAAGATTATTAGTTGAATTATATATGTGGCAATGCAAAAATTATCCTTTGGAATGAATGATGAAATATGTATTATATTATTTTACTGTAACTCAGTGCAATTCCTTTTATTTAATGCCATGATTAATTTTTCACATTTTTATTTTAAAGATGTAATCCATTTTCAAAATATGAAAACATTTTTCTCCTTATTACTATTATCAATAAGCAATATGTACAGGAAGGTGCACCAGTTTCTTTATTTTATGCTACACTGCATTACCACACCTTGTGACACAAGTTTATAATTCCACTAACTAATCACCTTACTCTTATTAATTTCTACCTGATAAAATAATCATCACAGTTTGAAGTAGAATTTTTTAAACCATACTGCGACATAAAACTGTCTAAAATCTTGAACTTAATGATGACGTAGTTTAACATTCCTAAAAACAAAGGCATGAATACAATTTTATATATTGAACAAATAGTTGAAACACATGATAACTGTTATGACGTAATTAAAACCTCAAAATCTGATTTATGGGCAAGATGAGACAACTCAAGTTATCCTGAGGAAGCGATTCGAAAATAATGAGAAATGCAAGTCATACAATTACAAACCACACCTATTGACACGCTGTGTATGTGCATCATACTTAGTCTATGCTGAACAAAGTTTAATTTGCAAATAATTGACTTTAAGACTATAACTGAGGTATTCAATAACTGAAAACCAACAATACTGAAAATTAAATATAACACTAAGCAAACTATAATATATTACCGGGTTCTTCACCAATTTTTACGTCTAAAAACACGTGCAAATTTCCTTCCAAAGGAGCCGCCATCGTTACTCACATCGACGAGTTTTTCTGACGTAATCAAATATTCGGTAGTTCAAGTATACGCATTTATATGTGAAATATACGCAACGCGGTAATATTTTTCACGTGGGCTGATGTAAAAGTGGCGTCTGCTTTTAGTATATATAAGCTGCAATACAGTTATAATAATATATTCTAGAATTTTGATTTTCTTCATAAGTTTTATTTCTTTCTAATGTTTTAGAGAAATTTAATAAGAATCTTTGGCTTCGATTAGTTAAATATTGGTAAGATTCAGATGGCAATAACCTCGATAACATTTATAAATATTAAGTTTTTGGCAATAAAGTTAAAAAAATGACCTTTACCCTCCAGATGATAATCTTCTTCTTCTTCCGTAGCTTTTTCCCGTATCTATACGGGATCGCTATTTTCGGTTTTTGGCAGAGTTTTTACAGCCGGATGCCCTTCCTGACGCGAACCATTCCCTAATTTAGCAGTGTAAGACTAGAGGGAAGGCTGCTAGTCATCACCGCCAACTCTTGGGCTACTCTTTTACCAACGAATAGTGGGATTGACCGTCACATTATAACGCCCCCACGGCTAAAAGGGCGAGCATGTTTGGTGGACCCTCCAGATGATAATAATAAATTTTATTTCAGCCAACCTTTCACCATCATTGTGGCTTCATCAGGGCTAGTAGTACAAGAACTTAGGATTTTTTTAGTAAGGAAGATCTTTAACAGGTAATAAACTGTCAATTCATGCGTATTGATATACACACATATAAGTAACCACTATCAATTCTCCAATTTAAATACTTTGTTCTGTTGCGTATCTGCTTGTTTGTTAATTTTCCGTAGAAATTCTTTCCGAGGAACTTCAGCGAT